GTTCGTAAATTCTAGGAATAATGGAAGCATTAATAATAAAAAGTAAAGGCAACACTCGATAACATCAACTACGAAGACGACCATAATGTGCTGACCGTGTTTAGAAAATAACTCGATACATACATAAAAAGAATCCATACATTCAGTTAAAGATAAAAATCATCGTCGATAATAGCTAAACGAATAGCCGAAAGCGCTTGGGTATGTAGAACATTTGAACAATTTTGACACACTTTATGTCCAGGAAAGAAAACACCTAACGAGCAATAGAAAGATTAAATAAAAAGATTAATTGCAGTACCTTCTCAGTCATCTTTAGTGAAACTTTTTTTTTAAGCGTTTCACCCCAAACAAAGCGGGAAGCCACTGGGACGCAAGGGGTTACTGAAAATTTGGATCAAGATCAGATAGGAGTGATAGAAGTAAGGATGAGAAGAAGGGTAGTGGATAGATCAAGGCAACTGGAGATGTCGATTGACATTACATTTGAATAGCTGGAGATTATAGTTCTGAGGGAAACTGGAATAGGGAAGGGAGTTCCACAGGCGAGACATGAAGCTATTGGAGTAGAAGAGACGGCTACATTTAGGAGTTTCGACAGTGAAGGGGTAAGAGCGGGTTGCCAGCCTCGTTGGGCGCTTGAACTCATGAAGTCTGGGAACCAGCGAATGCAGCTTTTCGGAGCAATTGCCATGAAAGTATTTGTAAAACAGACAGAGAGAGGCGACGGCACGTCTGTGAGAGAGTGACTGTAGACGAGATGCCAGAGCAGGGCCAGTTATATTGCATATCCACCTCTGGAGCCTATCAAGAACACCGAGGTAAACAGAAGGGGCTCCAGACCATATATGGCAGCAATACTCCATGCAAGGGCGAATTAAAAGAGGGATTGCTGCTCCCCCACATATATATATATATATATATATATATATATATATATATATATATATACCCTGTGTAACGGCAAAATTGTCCAAATTCCCCCCATAGAATGTTTAATATCTAAAAAAAACACCAAAATAATTGAGTTTCTTTTTTCAGGTTTTCGGATAAGAGGTTTAGCCATCTTGGCACCATTTGTCGTAAGAATCACAGAAAAAAAAACCCTTTGAGTTATTCACCTAGAAAGAGAAGAGATTAAAATCATTTTGTGTCAGCACCACTATGTCTTCCCAACGGAGCAATGTTGAGAGGAAAAAGATCATTCAGTCCTTCAGTAATGGTATCAACATTCATACTCTGTCTTCCATCTTCAAAGTCCATTCAAGAACCATCAAGAGAAGAGTGAATCAGTTTTAAAAAGAGGGAACAGTAGAAAGGAAAACTGTATCAGGAGGTCACAACAGCAAGAGGGATCATCATTCATCTTAGCAATAAATATATTCTTATTGTTCAAAGTAGTGCAATATTTTTATAAAAACTTTGAAGAATTCCAGTAATATATCTTAATCATTTCTAAGATACAACGTTTCAAAAGCTTGATCTAAAAACTTTGGCTGTTACACCCCGTATATATTATTATTATTATTATTATTATTATTATTATTATTATTATTTCCTTTGATTTCTGGCATTTACATATTTTTTTCTGGGTCCTGCCCAGGGAACTAAGGCTAGAAATGGCATCATAACACTTTCCACTGACAAAAAACAAAAAAAAAAAAATATTACATAGATAAAGCCCTTCGTAAAGTGTGGGCTGTACTTGTCAGAACAATTTTTGTATCTCTTTGAGGCATGGACTTTCAGGAATCCCTATAATTAGTCTACTGGAGTCTTTTCCAACCAATCCTAGGGCTCCAACTACAAGGATTGTTGATGTTCCCATGTGCCACATTTTTGAGATTTCAAGGTCCTTGTATTTTGACAACTTTTTGAATATCTTCAAAGAGACATTGCATATGGCAGGGACTGCCATATCAATAAGGAGGCACTTTTTTTGTTTGTGGTCTCTAATAACAATGTCTGGGCGGTTGGCTTTGATTGTTCTGTCAGTGTGCATTGTGTAGTCCCATAGAATTGTCCTATCTCCGTAACTGGGTCTGGGTGTTATCATTATTATTATTATTATTATTATTATTAATAATAATAATTTCGGCCTGAGCACGGCAATGAAACTACTCAAGCTCTTACTGAGTACGAGAGGATATCCAGAAAGAAAAACATTATTAAGGAGAGAGAGAAATAAAAGAATATGAATTAAGAAAACAGATGATAATGATTGACATTACATTTAAATTTTTGAATTTCGAAGATCAGCGTTGGTTGAAACCAAGAATCCGATTTAAATAATCCATCTGACATATTTATAAATCTACCATTCGTCTTCGCTCTGAATCCAGATGCCACATCTGGCCAGGTGCTTCTGCTTATATAGAGCAGTCTTATTCCCCCAAAATGTTGAAAACTAATATTTTTTGCTCTTGTATATAAATACATATCATAAAATCAAATCCTTATATTTTCCTTGATAAAGTCCCCCAGAGGACGAAACGTGTCAACTAAGTTTTCTTTTTGTCTTTATTCATATTGCGCTTTTACAGATATATTCTATCTTAAATGTTTACAAACACACAGATATATATTTAATAGGAGTAGATAGGGTCGGCTATCATCCGGTTCACCCCCCACCCCCTGTTTTTTGAACAGGAGTAGGGGTTTATCCCTTGTATCATGTTTACGATTACGTTTCCGGTACCTGTGTAGCGAAGGAACGATATTTTTAAATCAGTTAATTTATAATATTTATGCTCTGTAAATTTACATTGAGCACTGTTTTGTAAAATAAGAACACGGGATTATATATCTTACTGTTCTTTCTTTTTACTATAACACACACACACACACACACACATATATATATATATATATATATATATATATATATATATATATATATATCAGCCAGTTATGTGTCATGCGTGATACCCGCCTAGGCGATCATGTATCTTTCGATACATGACTGATGAGGCAGATTTTCCCCGCAGCAGGTTGCCATTTCTTTCTGTGGTAGACCAGTTGCCATCCAAGGCTATAGACCCATAGAAGAAGAGGATTCATACCTTTCCCGAGGTTATTAGTGAATGTTATTGAATTGATTGAAATTCGAACTCGGCTCTCCGATTCCTCAATCTTTGCCTCCCATATATGGACTTAATATTTAGTAAGTTTCATACCTTCTTTGATTGAGTTCTATTAAACCTACAGGTGCATGGCATCATTTTTTGTTTTTAGAGGTGGGCTTATATATAAGTTATATTTAGGCAGCAAGTTTTAATTCAACCAAATTTGGTTTCGGAAAAAGCGATTTTTTAAATTTGTCCATGTCTAAGATTATCTTGTAATACACGCCCCATTTTCAATGTGTCCATGTACACACTGCCCGGCACAGGGATTGAACTCTTAATTACTATGCCACCTAAATTTACGAAAAAACGCTTTAAACAACTAACCTATTGTCCCATGGAGTGGAGTAACTCACCTTCTGATGAGTACTGATGCTATTACTTGTCACGCTTGACTGCATCCACTGTGGTTTTATTTTACATTAGCTGCTGCTGTTGTTTTTGGGGCCTTGCTGCTACTTCTCTATTATATAATCTAGAATATAAAGGTGAAAAACTAAGCGTAAAGGTGGAGGAAGTTCGAAAAGCCGTAATTAGTCGTGAGACAATGAAATCAGGAATGGCTGATCATGTATAGCGGGAAAAGTATAGTCATCGACACTTGTGGAATGAAGGAAAAATAGTAGTGTGGGGAATACGGGAGAGTCAGATGCTAGGTCATGAGGTTTTTCTTGGTAGGTCGAGCATAGAATTAAATGAAATAGGAGAGACATTAAAAAATTAATAAATATATATAAGTAACAGAAAACCGGTCCAAATGCACACCCAGCTATAGGGAAGGTTTCTCCTACCTAAGGAGGATGCAGGTTCGAATTCTACCGAAAAACCAAAGCCAGTAGACGAAAAATATGCTTAAAAAAAAAAACAGAGACGTCTACTCAGATTTGTATAAACTTAAAATAACGTATATATTTATACGCATACACAAGTTTATGGCTACATCACGTTCCCCTACAATCACCGATGTTAAGCAACGTCGAGCCTGATCAGTAGCTAGATGGGTAACCGCTTTGGAATACCAGGTGTTTTAAGATTTGATGTGCGGTTAGTGGAATGGATAATGACTCGAAATTGCTAATTGGAAAGTCGAATTCGTATTCCCACTGGGTTCTTTTTTCCTCGTACCCCCAGCTATGGGTTAATTAGTAAGGCTTGTATCACTAAATCATTATTAACTCAACAAAAGAATTCTAACAATCAAAATATATATTTGGCTATAAATAATTAAAAAGGTTGATAAGCCGTAAAAAACGAATCAATCAACCAATACACGCATGCACACAGATGTATGAGTTGGAGATATGAATTAAATCTGGCTAAATATAGAAAAAAAACTTTCTAAATTTGACATGCCTCGCTATTTACTTTCAAACATTTTTGGAAAGGGGACAGTGTGGAGTCGTTTAAATTTTTAAATTGTATGTTGTTTTGTATCTATTGAATTGGTTAGGTAGATGTCATATATATATATATATATATATATATATATATATATATATATATATAAAGGATTCTGGATAATACGTTGATATCTCCTGCAATGATGAACCTTATGTTATGCATATTTCTCGAATGCACAGGGCGGCAGACGTAAAAAAAACAGCGTCTATTTCAAACATCGTTATCCACTAAAAATAACGTTTGAATTAATGTATATGTATGTATATGTGTGTTTGCGTAAACTGCTATAAAATTTCAAAGTAAAAGTGAGTTATGAAAGAAAGGATAACTTACAAATAGATAGATAGATAGATAGATAGATAATCAGTATTATACTTACAATTCCTCATCCCCCCCCCACAAAAAAAACGAGGAACACCAAAGTTTATGTTATATGGGTTTTGGGGGTAGTAAAAAGAAAATGACATTATTTACTTGTTTTAGATAGATAGATAGATAGATAGATAGATAGATAGATAGATATGAACAGAGTGAGATAGATGGATACATAGATAGATATGAACAGACTGAGATAGATAGATAGATAGATAGATAGATAGATAGATAGATATGAACAGAGTGAGATAGATACATAGATAGATATGAACAGACTGAGATAGATAGATAGATAGATAGATAGATAGATAGATAGATAGATAGATAGATACTGCCAAGCATTAATATTCCTTTAGTGCTTTTCACCTGTCTTTGGTGACTATTTCACTTATTTCTTTATTATGATTCCTCACCTGCTTCATTCCTCATTCCTAGCCCGTCCCCATCTTAAATCCTCTTAAAGGGTCCGATGCATATAATTATAATAGGCATAGCTCAAAAGACGAATAGCAGTAAATATGAAAACCATACGGAAAACGTTTACACGGTATAAACATGGTAAAACATCTGCTGAGTGCTTTCTGACTACATCAAAACCTATTGAGATATCTTTCTTGCATTTGTGAGCATTTTTTAAATTATTATTTTTTTAATTTGTCTAAACACACGCCTATATACACAAAAATAAACACAAATTCCTTTTGTTGGAAATAAATTGCATCTATAATCTTTAGTCAACTGGATTTATGGAGTACTTTAATAGTGTTAATGAGTCGCTGTCTAAAGTTATTATAGTTATTGTGGTGCTTGCTTAATAACACTTTATTAAAATAAATGGCATGTGAACCTGCATGAACGAGTAGTTGTTGTATAATCTATATATTTATAGAGATAGATTACACAATAGGTTTATATTTTGTTTTAAAGAACAATACCTGACAAATTACAATATATATATATATATATATATATATATATACACACCATCATACTTTTCAACTGTTGGTAAACAGGAAAATCATATATCACGCTAAGACAGTTTGAACTGTATTTGATTTGCAAATAAGTTCAAAATAAGAGCACAGATACTACGCTGATCATAGTTTCAGTATCAGAGAGCGTCATTTCTATCCTAAGCATTGCACATATATACTAAATTACAATATAAATAATTAATGCATTTTGTACAGATAATATATATATATATGCATACATATGTGTGTGTGTGTGTGTGTGTGTGTGTGTGTGTGTGTGTGTGTGTGTGTGTGTGTGAGTGATATAACGATATATAATTTTGTAGAATTTTAAATATCAACAAACAGTTTTTAGAAAGGAAACTAGTGACAATTTTGACATAGGGATTGGTAGCTTGAGTCAAAAAGAAAATAATCGACTAAAAAGAAAATGTCTGGGAAATACCTTAATCACTAATTCAGTCATGGTAAATTTACGTCCAGGTTCTTACAATATGTCACCATTGTTGGTAGATTTTCTGTTATTAAAATGTAGAATAGTCAGGGACAAAGGCGATGAAGAAAAAAAAGAAATAGAACACGAAATAATTTGGCTGGAGTGAAAAAAAAATTCTTTAAAAAATTTTGAAACTACCAGCGTCTCTCGTTTCGTGTGCGTGTGTAGATTTGGTAGCATCAAGAAGTCCAGTTCGATAAAATCCTAATGAATGAAACGCGTCACAAAAACTTTTTCCTATTTGTCATACTAATATATATATATATATATATATATATATATATATATGTGTGTGTGTGCGTGCGCGCGCGCGTGTGTGCGTTTGTGTGCGTGTATTTTAAGACATTTTTATGTTTAAGTAAATGCTCTGTTTATAATAAACAGTATTAACAACATTTACCGGCCTGAATGTCCGAGAAATTCTCATAGAAAATATGCGTCCCCCGACAGGAATCGAAACTATAGGGAACCTTCATATAGCCTGACGTGCTTTTACCGATTTCGCCACAGAGGAGAGTTTCGGTTAGCAATCATTCCACCTCAAGTAAGGCAATAATGCCACTAAGACGCAAGGGATTAATCAGAGGAAAAGAGAATGAGAAGACTTTAGTGAGAAAGGACAATAAAAAGAACGGTATTCAGGAAGTGTTACAAATTCGAAGGCCAAGGCCAGAATGGTCAATGATTGGAAAGAGTGTTTCATAGGCTGGGCATTCTGACAGTGAGGGTTTGCCTTTATCTGGATTTTTCATATATGTCCAAAACAGGGGGAATTCAACAGAGGGTTTTCAAGAATTCTGAAGCGTCGATATGCCTCCCACAACTAGTTTTGCGACCGGCTAATACCACCCGAGGAGGGAGGAACGTGCGACATGCTTTCCTGTGACATCAGTCCTCTTAGTGCCTCTTAGAATACAAGCTGCCACTCTTAATAAAACAAATACCAAAAGTGAATGACTCTTTTCGTTGATAGCGTTTTATTTAGTAACCTGAGGATTCCGAGACGACACAGAACTCAACAGGAAGACAAAAATGTCTATTGACGTTGTATTTAAATTCTTTGAAGATTGAAGATGGCAAGGAAGCAAGAAACCGGGAGAGAGTTCCACAGGTGAGAAATGCGAGAAAAGAAACAATTAGAATAGAACTTACGGTTACATCTAGTTATTTCACCTGTAAAACGATGGGACCTAATTGCCAATCTAATACTACTCTTTAATTATTCGCTTGACATACCAAGGAGGAGAGATCATTAGAACAACTACCTTGAAAATATTTATAGAAAAGACAGAAGGAAGCAATGTCACGGCGGTAGGAAAACGATTGAAGTCGAGATGTCAGATGAAGACCGAAAACATTACAGACTCTTTGAGTTTTGTCAAAAATCTCGAGATATATAGCAGGAACACCAAATTAGACATGGAAGCATTATTCCATCCACAGAGGATTTATAAATGTACAAGATGGATTCTCACAAGAAAAATTGTCTGGCACTACACAATGAACCAACCTTCTTAGCAGCAGACCTAGTAATTGATTCAATATAACCATTCCTCTTCATGACAGCAGAAAACATTAGACTGTTGGATTGATATGGAGTTTTCAAGGAGTCGTAAAACTATCAGGACATTTGGTGGATGGCAAAAAGGCTTAGTGAAAAAATTTATTAATAATTCCATTGGGCAGCAATCACCATCTCTGGTTATTATTACTTACAACTTTATCCAAACTTAGAGAAGAGTAGATATTTCGTAGAAATAGGTTTTAGAATATCTTTTAAACAGAGAAAATAGCATGTTCGTCTCGCTTCATGAGTTACGTCACATGCAATATACGTAACCAAGGATCTCTCTACAAATAATGTGAATTACATCATTTGGCATTAATACCGAGACAATTTTTTTTCATAATCATTTCACCCAAGCAAGGCAATTAAGCTGCTAAGACGGAAAGGGTTACTGCGTATCATAGAATATGAGGGGAAAAACATTAAGGAGAAAGAACAATAAAAGAAGAGGAATTAAGAAGACAGGAGATAACGATTGACATTGCATTTAAAGATTTGAAGATCAGAGTTGACTGGAAAGCAAAAAGCTGGAAGAGAGTTCTGCAAGCGAGAAGTGCGAAAGAAGAAACTCTTAGCATAGAACTTACGGTTATATCTAACAATTTCAATTGTTAAATGATGAAACCTTTCCGCCAATCTAGTACTGCACTTCATAAAGTTTAGGTACCACAGAGAAGTTCATCAGAACAATTACCATGAAAATATTTATAGAAAAAGTCACAGGGAAGCTATGTTATGGTGGTGGGAAAATGTTTGAAGTCGAGATGCTAGGTCAGGACCTATAACATTGCAGATTCTTATTTGTATTTTATCAAGAATCTCTAAATACATAGGAATAGCACAAGATGTGAGAGCAATATTCAATGCATGGGCGAATGTTAGTCTTATAAATGAGTAAGATAGATTCTAGAGAGAAATATTGATCAGCACAACACAGTGAACCAACTTTCCTAGCAGGAGACCTAGCAATTGATTCAATATAATCGTTCCACTTCATGGTAATAGAGAAAGTGAGACCAAAAAGGTATAATGGGTTACTCTTCTGGTGGTTAGCATCAGCCATGTTGATGGAAAGCAAAATGGTAGCCTATTTGTAATGATAGATGAAAATATATTAAGAAATAATATAGAAATATATATGAAATAAAAAATAGAGAAAAATGAAAAACATGAAGAAAAATAATATATATATATATATATATATATATACAATAATATCAAAATAATGTATAAAATGACATAGAAATAAAATATAACAATAAAATAAAAATAAAAAGATAATATAAAAAAAATATACAGAATAACATATATGATAATATATCGACTAAATATAAAAATAAGATAATGCATAAATTTTTTTCTTTTTTAAATTGAAGAAAAAAGTAAAAATATATAAAAAAAATGTATAAAATGTATAAACAAAAATAATTGAAAAAATACAATGATATATAAAAATAATATATAAAACATATAAAAATCTCTATGTAATTTCCTTTCACGGTTTCATTTCGGAATTTATTTTTAAATCATTTCGCTCGAAGCAAGGCAATAAAGTCACTAAGATGCAAGTGGTTACTCCACCGTTAAGCGCTTAAATTCATAAAGTCTACGTACGCAAGAGGTAAGTTCATCAGAACAATTACGAAAGTATTTATACTGGAGACTGAGAAACTACGTTACTGCAGTAGAAAAGGGACTGACACCGAGATGACAGGTTAGGACCAATAACATTGCAGATTCTTCTTTGGATTTTATCTAGGATACCAAAATCTATCGCAGGAGACCCAGATCAGATACGTCAGCAGTATTCAAAGCAAGGACGAATGGTAGACGTATAAATATGTAAAATAGATTCTGACAAGAAAAATTGTCTTGCACGACACAGTGAAACAACTTTCCTAGGAGCAGACCTAGCAATTGATTCATTATAACCTTTCCACTTCATGTCAGCGGAAAGCTTTTGGCCGAGAAAGGATAATGAGCTATACTATTGGCGGTTAGCATCAGCATTGCTGATGCTAACCTCCAATAGTATAGCTCAAAAATGGTTCTCAGATGATTAAAAGCTGTTTTTTTTTTAATTTGTTTTTTGGAAGACAGACTCAAATGAAATTTGGCTTAAAGAAACTTTCTTGTTCATATTTATCATTGCCAGAAACAGTCATAGTAATATTTCCTGATTCAAAAACTTACACATTTTTAGCTATGTAGTAAAAACATTTCAATAATCAGTATCATACTTGCAATTCCCCATAAAAAAAATCCATGCAACACCAAAGCGTATGTTATGGGGTGGGGTAGTAAA